CGACCAACGCCGGCACGTTGCACGCTGGGTGAAACACGACGTCGTCGGTCCACCCGTAGGGATGAAAGAGTGCCACGTCGACGACACCGGTCGAAATGAGGTACTCGACCACCGCCGTCGCCTTGCCGTTGAGCGCGTCGAACGATACAGGACCGGCGTGTGCAAAGTGCCAGCAGAGTGCCACATGCGTATGCTCGCTCCATTTGGCCACTGCGTCTTGCATGCGCGCGATTGTCGGGGGCGGAATCGGCTTGCTGTACTGGCGATACAGCACGTCTTGGTCGCCTTTGGATTGTACCGTCGAGTGGTCCACGGTGTAGAGGACTGCGGCGCGCGTGCCCGACATAATGGGTGCCACGTCAAGGCTGCACGCCTCCGAGTAGAACGCAACGACATGGTCGTCAACGCTGTCCCACTGCGTAGTGTGGTCGCGGTACGAAACGGTGACAGCACCACCAACGGCATCCGAAGCTAGCACATGTGCCTTCGTGCCAAACGTTAAGTCGTCCGACTTCGGGAGTGTCAACGCCGCCGCCGTTCCAACACAGTCGATCGTGAGCATCTTGGGCGTCACGGTATAGCAGCCCCACGGGTGCAAGCGCCGTTCGACTGGATTCTCAAAGTCGCGGTGGTGGAAGAGATCGTCGCTTAGAGCTTCCAGGCAGCGCCGTTCGATCGCCGTCCACGGAATCCGGATCGGGTTGCCCGGGTACAAGGCACTGAGCTGCGCCAGTTGCGCCGCCGAGAGCGGCCACGAGAGCGGCTCGCGCATGCCATTGACATATATTTTGGGAACAAACGGCATGCGGCGCTCGGAGCGGCTGCAGTACGCTGCGTTGACCGACAGCGCGAGCTCCAGCATCGTAAACGACATGGTTCTATTGAGCAAATGAAGATCTGACGCGTGCAGGACGCGATTATTGCTCTTGAAAGACCATCCAAGATCCTGTCCAAGGCAAAGGATCCAGTGCGCTAGTGAAGGTCCCGACGCGGCACCGGCACTCGCACTTGCCCGTTGCGTGGTCAGCAGCCCGGAACGCTCTCCGCGTTTGTTTTATGCGCCAATCCCGCCTCGCGTTGCAATTTCCGATGAATCGAATCGCATGTATCTTTGGGCGGACCAATCGCACGGCCGCGTAGAACTTCCTTGGACCTTCAAAGCTGTTGCTACCATCGTACCAAGAATGATAGCGTGCGTTCTTATCAGCTGCTTGCATGGGATTGCGTCCAGAGTGCTGGTGGATCCAAATGACCATCACTAGGATTGCTGTAGAGTGCTCTTCCAGTAGCTCTCTTGCTGCTCCAGCCGTCGGGCCTCCATCTGCAGCCGTACATCGACCTTGCCGTCCATCTGTAAGAGGCCTCAACGGGTGGCATCGACGACCGTGGGTATGTGGCGTTGCTGCAGCTCACACACGGGACACCGAGCTTTGACAGTATCTTCGACACAGCGTTGACGCGCGACGTGTACGTTGGATACTGGTTGGACCTTCTCCTCGCGACGCCAGGACTGCAGCTCGGTCCGTCGCAGACGACGCGGCTCATGGCAGCCACCAAGGACGCATTCTGCGGCACAGATTCTGATTGCATCCCCGATACGGACGACCAATAAATGCAATCGTACTTCTGCGTGAGTAACACTCTAGCACCAGCCCCTAATACACATTACATTTATTTGTCGTAAAACTCTACAAAGGTCTGGAATGGGGTGCAACGACCGTTGACCCTGCATTGCCCGGAAATATAGACGTGCGGTCCGTAGGATACTGGTGGATGTCATTACACTGTTTACAAGCAAATACACTGTTTACAAGCGAATACACTGGCGCTTTGCCGATGAAGACGCGTCCAATGGACGCCCAAGACTCGCTTCAAGGCGCATGGCGGCGTCGTACATCTTGGTCACGAGCTCGTCCGTGGTGTTGACCAGCAAGTGCCCGCACATACTTGTACATTTCCACGATTGGACCAAGCAAACATCGCCCAATTGCTCCGGGTACCGTCGCAACGGCACACACATGGCGCGCGCCACGTCATCGCTCGCATTGAGATGATACGTCTTCTGTCGCGGGTCCCGTGCGAAATCGGCGAGCTTGTCGCAGCAGCTCCGACACCATCGGCATCGCTTGGATACGGTGGCGCCCGTGTTTTGGTCGATCGTCGACGCCTGCAGCGCCGCCAGTCGCGCCGTCAGTGGCGGCAACCCATACGCTGCGAGCGTCCGAGCAAAATCCGAATGCCCAGCGTCCAGCGCCTGGTCGTGAAAGGGCACAACGACGTCCATGATGACCGTGATGGGTGCTGCATGCGCAGCGTTGAGGGCCTTGGCATACGCCAGTAGCAGTGCAAGACCCGGCGTGTGATCAAAGTGGGCAAAGATCCAGACCGCACCGCGCGCGTCCGACGTCATTTCACATACTTCGTCCACGTCGTCGAGTGGGGGCACGCGCGAGGCATCGAATCGAGTCGTGATGTGTGCCAGCAGCCGCGTGGCATGCGCCGGTGCAAGTTGCAACGCGGTAGTTTGGAGGAATCGCGCCCAGCGGGCCGTCTCCATCTTGCTCGCCAACGCAATGGCCAAGGCAGCGTCAAAGCTCGTGGTCCCGTGTGTGAGCTGCAGTAGTACGACGATCGTGTCATGGTGCTCACTGTCCTCCGACAACCGTTGGAGTGCAATGTGGATGTATGGCTGGAGCGCATGCACGCCCGACGACGGCAGAAGCGCCAAGAGAACGGATGGCAGCGCATGCGTGACCGACACGGTCCACCGCGTGTAGCTCTGTAAAAGCGAGTCCGCCAGCGTAAGGCGCGGCACCCCAAAGCTGTCGATGATGGCGATCACATGCAGCGGGAGGTGCTGTGCCAAGGCACCACCGACAAGGGGATCGGCCGACTCGGCCGCCAAGCACAAGGACACACAGAGTGCGTTTCGGAGATCGCTGTCAACCTCGCGCGGGTAGGACGCGTGACGTTGTCGAAGAAGGCCTTCGAGCGCGGATGCCAGAAACTCGGTCGCGTGGCGCTGCCGCACGCAGAGGCGGTTGTTCTCGACAAGGCCCGCGACCAAGCTCATCAGCATCGCGCCGCGACTCATCGGGAAGCCCCGGATGAGGCGCAAAAAGGGTGGGAGCACACTGCGCCACCCGCAGCGCATCACGAGAACACGCAGCCAGTCGCGGGGGATCGTTGGCATCGAATACTGGTCACCCACATGCCCGAGGAAATCCATCGCAAGATCGACGTCGGCATGGTCGGCGACAAAGGCGCTGAGATTGGCCCATTCGTCGGATGTCACGTTGAGATGGTGCTGTCGGCAAATGGCGTCCCGGACCATGTGGATCGTCGCGGACGCCAACTCGCGCAGTGTCTTCAACCCGAGCAAGTCGGTGCTGCCCCCGGTGACGTACGAGGTCAAGAGCGAGGTCGCGGTTTCGAGCCCGACAAAGTACACGCGGTGCGCCTTGGGCCAGAAACACACGTCGATCTGTCCAGCGACTGGTTCCAAGAGGCGTCCCCCGCGCTGCGATCTCAGTAGATGGTCGCGGGTGGCGGCAGCAGCGACCGACGCCGGGACATGGCACGCCGGGTGGAACAACACCTTGTGCGATCCATCGTTTGGATAGATGAACGCAACGTCCAGGACGTGTGTCGCCACGAGGTACTCGACCATTTTACACAGGCGGCCAGTGATCGCGTCCAACGAATACGGCGAGGCTGCACCGCGGTGACCATGGCACAAACCGATCGCGATCCACTCGTGCTCGTGGGCCGCGGCGACGGCGTCCTGCATCTGCGCGCACGTGGGCAGACGCAGTGGCGTTGCACCCCTCTCGTCGTTGTCACTGTCGTCGCTGTCATATCGCCGTTCCAACTCGGCGCAGAAAAAGAGCGTTGCGCGCGCGCCGGACGTGATCGGGGCCAATTGCACCGAGCACGTGTCGTAGAAGCCAAGCACGCAGTCGTCCACCGCGTCCCACGTCGTCGACCGGTACTCGTGCGAAAAGGTGACGGCGCCGCCGACCGCGTCCGACGGAAGCATGAGCCCCAAGGTGGCGAAGCGGGTCGCATGCGTGCTCATCGGCTTCCACGCCTCGACGTCACCCACCAAGTCGATGACAAGCTTGTCGAGTGATATTGTGACCTCCCGGGTGCTCGAATTGAGACCGTCCACGACGGCGTCCAAGTCGTCGTCGACGTCCTTGTGTTCATACACTGCGTCCGAGTCGGCGTGGAACAGCTGGTCGTGTGGAACCTCAATCGAGGGGCCATGGGAGTAGAGGGCTCGAAGCGCTGCCACTTGATGCGGTG